ATCCTCTTCAGGCTTTACTCTAATACAAATAACTTAATGGATATAAAATTAAACCAGTCATGTGGATTTGTCGGTGGAGATAGTAATACAAGTAATAATAATAATAATAATAATATATCGGGTAACTCCACAGCACCTTTGAGACATGGTTTATGTAGTTTTTTTAATATAAGAGTAAAACATGGGCACTGTAGTAGATCGTAATTCCGCTTCTAACTATATAGTTTTGATTTTCTCTCCTTTGTGATGACAAGGGTAGTAGAATTTTCCATATATCTGGGGCAGGTGCATAATCATTTCTATTGAATGTATTTGGTATTGATTGGATAAACAAAGATTCGGTTATCAATCTTTCCCTACATCCAAATAAGTTGGTTTTTAACGTTATTGCTGTATCCCTCCCTACTGTGTGGATCTACTAATCTTGTACTATGTTATTCCGATTGACCCTAGTCGACTACTTTGATCTGTGTATTTGATCTCGCGATCATCACAAGGCATTCGGTAAACCCAATTATTTCACTGAATTGTATCAGTAGGATCTTATAACCTACAAAACCTGTTTCTGAGTGAGTTTGTTGCAGATCCTGATAAGATAAGAAGTTTAGAAAAAAGCTGGGCTCTGCACGCAATTACACACAAACACAAAGGAGGGTGGGATAGGGTAGCAGAGTTAAAACCTAACTTATTTGGTTGTAGGGAGATATTGATAACCGATTCTTTGTTTATCGAATCAACACCAAATACATTCATTAGAAATGATTGTGCATCTGCCCCAGATATATGGAAAATTCTACTACCCTTGACATCATAAAGAAGGAGAAGAGAGAATTAGGATTATATAAACTGTGACTCAAATTTGCTGTGGAGTTACATATTAGAAATATGGACAACAATCTGTGTCCGAAACGTTATCCAGTAAATGGTACTGTTCTTTCACTCATACTAAAATGGAATTACAATTGGCCACAGTGCCCAAGTTTTACTTCGATACTAAGTATTCCATACCTCTGGCATAGGTGTTGCATCATTCCTGTTACGTATGTTGGGTGCCGTTTCTATGAACAAAGATTCAGTAATCAATCTCTCTCTCCAACGAGTTTGTTTGAACTTAAGCACAGGGGTTTTATTCCACCCACCTTATTGTGTGGTTGTATATTGCAACAGCCGAGTTTTTTCTGGATTATTGACTCTACTGGGGTCTGTTATTCTATATGTAGCTGAATTCCTATGTTACGCTTATCTAACTGTCCTAAACTGGTTAGTTTGATCTATATACGTGACCTCATAGCCATTGCATAGGAATTTGGTAGACTAGATTAATTTGGTGAATTGGATCTATCGGATCCTTAAGCCAATAGAACTTGTTGCTGAGTGAGTTTTTAGGCTTAAACGCCACTCTCATTCCAGCCTTGCTGCGTATCCTACATAACGTTTCTGATGTTCCTTCTTTATATGGTAACATAATAGAAACTTTGAACTCCTTTCTACTTGTGTTATCCCATTATTCGTATTTATATCACTGTTATCACTTTGTTTCTTATCTGTTAGTACGAATTCGTAATAAACGGTAGACGATAACTATTCATTAGTAACTACTAACGCTTCTCTTATGTTTCAATTCGTTGTTAAGCTTCTGACACTGATCAATGGAGTTTTTTAGCTCTGTCATTTAGATATTTGACTAACTTTGCCTTGACTGACATTGGATGGGATGGTTTGAAGTCTAGATACCTGTTGGAATGTGTCAATTTTCTGTAGACAGTAGTATCCAAACCACACTGTCTGTCCTTTGTTTTATTCTGCAATCTAACATTGATAATATTTTTGTTCACTTTCCTCCTTGTAAGTGAAGTGGATTGCGTCTACCATTGCGTTTATGTGTGAGGAAACTGTTGATATTTTCCAGTTTCAACACAATAAAGGTATTATCAACATAACGCCATTATATCTTAGGTATAGGATTAAACATCAGTGAAACCATGTTTGCCCAATCATCCATAAATAGATCTGCTACGATTGGGGATATTGGGGACCCCATTGCTACTCCTTCTCTTTGTCGACATATTTTGTCCTGAAACTTGAAGACTGTGGAGATCAGGCACAACTTTACGCCTAATATGATTTCATCAACCGATATCTTAGTTCTATGAGTAAATTCTGAATCAATATTTAGTTGACTTCTGATTGCCTCCAGTGCTATATTGATTGGTATTTTAGTAGAGATGCAAAAATGATTCAACACATGCTCTGGATTTCACTACTAACTACTAGCGATCATTAGTATTAAATTTCACTCTTGTCGATGGTGTGCCAAATACTCAGATTCTCAATTTTATTTCAATCTCATCCTTATTAATGTTCACAATCGCAAGTATTATCCAATGAGAGAATGATACACTATGTTCAAGTTCCGTCTGAGCAGACGACTTACACCTGCAATAAAATCAAAAGTTTAATATTTGACAGTCACTTGAATTGAATCTCCTGATAAACAACCTTTATTTAGGTGTGTCATTGTGAAAACCAGATCAAGAAGCTTTTAAGTTAATAATTTCCTATGGAGAGTGATGAATGGTTCAGAACCATCCATAGAAAAGGCGAGGAACGCCAAGCACAAATCTTATAAACAACTGAAATGGGCATATATTTCGTAGACATTAGCCACGAACTTGCATAAACTAAACTGCAGTTACTAGATACTATTTACCATTAATATCAAACCTGAAAATAGTGACAGTATGAAGGGATTCTCACAGGAGCCTATGCACCCAGTAGTAGTCAATCAGTTCGGTCCAGTCAGCGACCGAGAATCACAGGCTATGGCATTAAAAACCATACTCTACCCGTCGGACAGAAAGTGGCTATTATAGCACGTTGACGTAGTGGATAACGCCATGAAGTTTACGACGACCGATTTTGGGTTCGAGTCTTGTTGCTAGCAGTGTCACTCATTGGGAGGCAGGTATATCCAATTGATGGGCCTCGAAGTAGATGAAATGCTCCCCTTGTATTACGCTGCTAGCCACTATCCATCAGTAATCACCAAACTGCGCTCGGTTAGAACACTAACTAATGAATTTTATTGACTTCAGGCTGGTTGTTTTGATCATGGACTGATATTTGTTGGAAAAACATTGGAAACCTGATAGGACTGTGCGTCTGTTTTGTCCTGACAAGGGGCTCCTTGGCAGTTAGCACTCAAGGATCGAACCCAGGACCTTCAGGTTTCGCAGCCAGCAAATCATTAAGCTAATGAGTCGGAATCCAGTGGTCCATATTTTCTTACTTCTGTCAGTTCACGATAAAGTGCGACCTCTGTTCGATGTCGTCGTTGAGCAATAGTCCTCATGTCTTACTTGTCTGGCTCCAAGAAACCGTTAAACTGACTTTTAAATCTAGTTTTAATCAGTACAACGGGAGTTGAGTGAAAGCAGCAGAACAGGATGAGTTCATTAGTAAAGCTCAACTTTTATACTCAGTACTTCTGTTTGTCTGCCAGTCTGTTTATCTGAAGGCTTGAATTTGTGTTCAGGTGAGCTAAAAGATTGTTCAGTTAGTGGTTCGTTTGGATTGATCAGTTTCAAGGTAGAGTTAGTTTGGAGGACTATTTAAAACCTTGGAGTAGTTGTTTCGTTATAGTGCAGGGATCCTCATCATTAAGTCCCATCGACTGTGTGTGAGATTGAACTGAGGACCATCTGGTCACACCTCGAGCATTTTGTCACTCCCCCAGTAGATTAGAATCCAATGGCCCACAATTTCCTACTTCTTAGGACTCGTGTTACTGCACAACCACTATCCAGCAGCACTTGCGAGTATTTCTCCACATAGTCCATTTGATTGACCCAAGTGGTCATGGCTTCTCATTAGGACTTCATGAAATTCATCTCAAAACACTAGTGACCACTGTTTCAGTTGGTGGTTTATAGGGATTGATTGATTTCAGGATGATATTTATTACTGTCTTACATATATTTCGTGAATCGACTGAAGCAGGGAAATGGCGAACGTTATATTCGAACCCAGTTACCGAGTGCCAACTTACTCGCCATGATACCTAATGGTCCTGGGCTCAACTACTTACGGAATTGTGAGCACACACTACTGAAGAGGTACATACTACGTCCTTCAGTGGTTCTCCAACTGATGTCTGTCTGTCACCATTACTGTAGTGAAAACCCTTTGATTGACATAATAATATGTGATCAAAGTATGCAGTGTTTAGTGTTATTCAGCATCCAACACCGTTGTCTTGTCATATCACTCATTAAAGTAGCAAACTTGATTGACAAAACTTTTACCAGCATCAAGAACTTGACATTTACATTAGTTATCATCTGAATACTAGATTGCATATGAAATATATTTACCATAAGTAGAAGAATTTGTGGCTCGCTGGTCCAAGCACTTGTGGTTCGGAACTCTACTCCACCAACCACAGTGTAGTCACCTAGGTGATATCGCAATCCCTCATACATTAAGTTTGCCTTATTGGTTGATGCACAAACCTGTCCATAGTTGATAGATTAAAATGCCTCATTATAGCTTATCTTACATTCACCATATTGTTGGTAAATAGAACCAGTGTCTATCCAAAATCCACATGGTATGCTATGCAACTTCATGCAACGGTGGCATTTTCTACAAGAATCCATCATAGGTTACACTTTTATGTTTTATGGTAAACATAATGCATCAAGCTAAATAAAGGTTTTAATTTTCTGTTACTGAGTGGTTTTTGGTCTAATATATAAATCACTACATTATATACTCAGTCGGTGACTCAATGACTGACTTGAAAGTCGAATACACTTGCAGTGAGTGGTGTTGGTTACAAACGAAAAAGAAACAGAAAGCCAGATACTTTGAGATTTTACATTTGCGCTAAATATGCATGCTGGCCAGCAGTATGCTTAGATTTAGGAACTTACCGCCAATTAGCTTCAACAAATAAAAGGTTGGTTAATCAGAGATAGCTTTTGTTTTCATACAGTTTTCTTTTTTCTCCAAGAATCATAAGTTTCATCTATGTTTTATCGCAGCAGTACTTGTCATCATACAACACTATCAAAAACTTCAATTATATCCCCCCCATAAAAGTTTAAGAATTAGATGCATATTAAATAAAATGAAATACAAACTAGATACATGAATACTTCAAAAACTTTTTCAAATTGGAACATTTAAGTGTTGATGTGAATTGTTTTAACACATCAATAGGTGTAAATGCTTCATGTTCCAGTGTTACTTATGGGGATTTCTTCTAGCCAAAAGTATGACATAAATATGCTGGAATGTTCAACTACATTCACCCATGATTTGATCATATAAAGCAGAGTGGAATCTTGTCAATAGCAGTCGTTGTTAGCAAAAGAAAAAGAACCACAAAAAATGGATTACTTCTTTTTAGTATGCTACTATGATTACAAAAGTTTCCACGACAATAACATACAGTTCTTCGCATTCCAGCACCACCAACTGAACTGAAACAACCGACACCATATCCTTCCGGAATAGCTGCGCATGTACGAGATACAACTACAGCAGCCAGTGTCGGCACACCAAGCTGTGGTTTAACTCTCCAACTCTTTGTGACGATTTTCGCACAACCATCATAATTTATGTTCTCACATTCACCATAGTTATCAGAATCAATCAGTAATTGAATGGCTGAACGATTTACTCTTTCTGAACAGAGTCTTGAGACTTGTAGAGCAGTTAATCCACCTCTCAATTGGTTACCATTACTTGACATACTTGTCCAACCACCAACTACTGGCTTACCACCGAACCATGCTAGTCCACTTGCTGCACCAGGGCGGAAACCAGAATCTGACGCTAGACTGGCATAATTATCACAAATAAAACAACGCTGAGTTATTCTGGTTCGTCTGTAGTTTGTAGGAGTTGAATCTCTCTTCTCAATCAATGTGATCACTCCGGCTATCGCTAAGAAAGTTATTAGCCAGAACCAAGTACTGTACCTCGAACAGAACTATAAAATCAATAAATGAAACACAAAACATATAATCATTGGACTATAGGGAAAATTATTAACTGAAAAAGTTTGTAGAAAACGTTGACAGTGAAAGTAAGAGATTGGAGTTATAGATAACTGATTTTGAAGAAATTTTATTACAAAAAGTCGATAGTGATCTCTTGTTGAACGTGGCGATAAATCTTACCTAAATGTTATTCTACAAGACTTGCAAATGTTACTGTAATTAACCGTGTAAGTAGTGTGTACTGGCTGTGATACTGTCAGTCAAAACGTTAAGAGTTTACAGTCATTTTATGACATTTCTAGAGGAAGGCATGAGGAGGACAAAGGAATGTGGGATGAATTGAAATCATATAGTGTGGTGTAGATCTTCCAGATACACTGTAAATTAAAAATTGTGTGCAGGAATCGGTCAGTATTCAGTATAAGTCATTTGATACACTTTGATAGTAGAATCAGAAAGGCGGACAAAGTGAACGTGGAACCTCGTACAGAAGCGCATCACCTCAAGTTGACACACTTCGCAGTAATATCCAAAGAACAAGTGGATAGGAAAGACTAACATCAGAGTAGACAAAGGTGTATGAGAGGAAAGGAAATTTAAAAATTGAGGTTAGTCAAGATATTCAAGCTTTAGAAGACACCAAAGTGTGAATATATCTACGCCATTGTGACCAATTTTCAGCCATATCACCAGGAGTCCTCAGTCGTTGATTCCTCCTATCGTTTCGAGGACCCTAGTCAATCGGTCTACAACTGCCTGCACAACTCAGACCAACAGTTAGGGACTTCATACACTGGTCCTGCGTCTTAGTCTGGCCACTATGAACCCTCTTCCAACCTAATCCAACTAACCGTAGCATTGCGTATCACATCCAGATATCAGTATATGAGAACAGTGATGAACGACTCAGTTCACAACCTAATCAATCAATACAGGGAACAAGTAAAATAGGACATCAGACAATAAAATCGATCAGTAAACACAGAAGAAACAATATGACATAATCTTGGTACAGGAGTATGATTACAGTTCGAGGTGGTATGAAGTCTGGTGAGTGGTGGAAAACAACGAAGATGATGTGATGTCATCAAGATATAATGAAGTGGAGTAAACAAAGTTGGGTGTACTATTATCCTTGCTGTATTGGTTTCCATTGTTATTTTGGTCTTTCATTAAGCCTTTCTACTTGACTTGTTTTCATCGTCTTACCCCTTTTCTATAATGTGACCTTTAATCTAAATGCCTATGACAAGTACGTGTGTGGTCAGATTGTTTGAAATGTGTTGGAGAAAATACATTACTGGATTCAGACAAATTGCGTCTTTGCATTGTTTTGTAGAAGTTTATTAAGGCAACTATTTTTTCTTAAACATACTGGTTACATTTGCTTGTTTAGTTGACCTTTTTGAGAAGTTTGTCTATTATTTTCTACTCATTTCATTGGATTATCTGAACACAGTTTACTTTTCTATGGATGCCTTACAAAGTAGTAGGGAGAAGTGCTACGAAACTAAGTTGTGGCTTCAAAAGAAAGGCCTTGGAAGGAGTTTCTGATGTTGTGTAGTGTTAAATGATGATGAAGAGAGCGGTAATGCTTCTGGTGATGTTTGCATATATGTAGAATATTAAAACTTACGTGGTTGAGTTATATAAATATTGGCTACTACTTGTTGAATGACAATTGAGATAAAGAAATAGCTGAGTCAGGTAAGGGAGTTACGATTGATTGATGGTGCTGAATGAGCAGAGTTATTATGCTGGATGTGAGGTGAAGAAAGTTACTAGCCATATTACCGCTGATGTTGAAATTACCTGTTAGCTAAATAGACGAGTGAAATCCCTATGGTTACGGTGTTGAATGACCTCGAGTGGATTGTTCTTGCATACATACTCGATTGTTTTTCTGCTGTAGCCTATGATAAGCACATGTCTACTCAAACTGTTTGAAAAAGGATCTGGTAAAACGGCAATTAAAATATAATGAATTAGAGTAAGTTGAAAATGATGAGAATATGAATAATGTCTGAGGATAATATGTAAGGTGGAATTCAGCACAAACTGCTATCTGTTGGAGGACGACTGAAAACCCGAGAGCACTGAACAGCTGTCGTGTTCTAGTATATGACTCTTTGGTAGTAAGCAGCAACGATCATACCACTGACCGAACTCAGAACCTTCTGGTTTCATGCGTTAACCATTCCGCCACTGGACCAGACTTTGGGGGTCCACAGTTTCCTACTTTTGTCAGTTCACTATATGTCTTGACTATCGTCCAAGGTTTTCAGCTGGCGACTGCTTCACTTCCGACTTTACTGATTAGTGCCATGCTTCGAGATGGATAGCTCTGAGTTCTGTTGAGAAGCTGTGACCTGTGGGATCAACCAGTTGGAAATGAAGTGGACGCTAACTGAAGATCTTGGTAGATTGTCCCGGTATGTTGTAAGTCGACAGAAGTAGGGAACTGTAGATCACTGAACTCCCACCCAATGGCTAAATGGTTGACGTATTCACAGTGAAACCTGAGTGTCCTCAATTTGATCCTCGGTAGGGGGACGGTGGTTAAGGGATGTGACCTGCTGAAGAGTCTCTTACTAAGATGAAAAAGTTGTCCAGTTCTTTCGGGTTTCCAGTGTTCCTCCAACTTATCTCAGTTCGTAATGAATACTACCTGAGAAATAAAACCCCCATTAACCTAAAATTACAATAATATGTAAGATAGGAAGATGAAAAAACTAAATGGTAAATAGAGTCATCGGAAAAAAAACAGTTCACCAATGGTAATCCCAGGTTAACGCCAAACTCCCTTTGTATTGATACGTTTGTTTTCAGTCGACAGAAATTTCCCAAATGAAGTCATAGAACAAAGATGCAACGGTGAAGAAAAATTCCTTTCTGAAGATTTCACTAAATAAAGGAGTCAAATCTTATTTACAAGTAATGGAAACAAATAACAGTTTACCGTTACCCAGTGTCCTAGTAGATAACACTATAGCGTTTGAAGCGACGGGTACTGGATTCGTATTTTAGTGGGAATAACATCACTCATTTGGAGTAGAGTTACATCCAGCTGACGAGTTCTAAATCGGACGAAACTCGTTTCTTAGATTCCACTACGAGTCACATCATGAATATCTTTAAGTATCGAGGGATCCATATTGGAGCCCATTTGCCAACAGAGTTTAAGGAATTCGACCGTGCCTAGAAACGGGGAATTCCAAGTATCAAAAATCAGTTTACCATTACTTTGAATAAACTATTGGAAAGGGCTAAATGTTCAGGGATGATGAGATTTCCCAGAATAGTTCTACTGGTATCGCTTCTATTTATTCTGAGTAACCAGGTTGAACAATGCTCGAAACGACGTTCATGACATTGTACAGTCGGTATACTTTGCTTCACAGAAACAATTTAAATAAAAGATGCATACTGAGGTGACCAAAAGCAGCAATACGTAGCTGACGCTATAGTTGAAGTGAATATCTTCGTCAAATGACTTGAGACGCAATTTCTGAGGATTTCAGCCGTATTACCACCTTTGAATACCAGTTTTATACAGATGGCTTTGTTTGAAACTGTACAACTTCTGTAATTGTTACAGTCAACAGGTCGAGGTGAATATCTATTTTCCAGTGGAATATTATTTATTTGTCCCTTAGGTTCCTAGTGGAACATAGGACTTCAATAGCACGTCTCCATTCCACTCTCTTCTCTGCAAACTTTTGAACCTGACTCCACGACAGCCCATAAGCTCTCATTTCTTCCTCACATCATCTCCTCCATGTCACCCACAACTGGGACGCCCAACTCGCCGTTTCCTATCTGGGTTCCACTAGAGGGTCTTGCCTGGTGCGTGATGTCCCCTAATGGTCTGCTCAGTGCATGCTCAATCCATCACCATTTCCTTCCACTGCATATTTGTTGAGCGATGGGTTCTTGGTTGGTTCGTTCCCAGAGTTCCTTGTTGCTTCAGTAACGAGCGTAGGCAGTTGGAAATGCCTTTCGTAACGCGCCAAGTCTCTGAGCCATACAGAAGCATCTGGCTTTGACATCCTCATCTGTGCCTGTGCCGCCTGTAGTTGAAAACATACTGCCTGGGTAGGTGTAGGTAAAAGAGACTACTTCCTTTAAGTTTCTCCCTTTGACGGTGACTGGAGCTTGTTGTTGTTGTTGGTGGTGTTGGTTGAGTATCTTCATCACCTCTGTCTTCTCTACGTTCACTTGAAGTCCCGTCTTTGCTGCCTCGTCTCTTCTGTCAACTTGTTAGTTTTCGCCTGTAGATCTTCGAGTTTGTGTAACAAGACATTAGACATAAGTCATCATCGGCGAAATCCAAATCTTCTAGGATCTTATCCCCGGTCCAGCGCACCCCACTCTGCTCGCTTTGTGGTATTCCGTAATGTTAAAGCAACTGTTTGCCAAATTACTTCTCGGTCGACACTGTCAAAGGCCTTTTCAAAGTCGATGAAGTTGAGGTAGAGAGTTGACTGCCATTCTATACTCTGTTCTATGATGATGCGTAGCGTAGCCTTAAAATTTGGTCCGCATATGATTTGTACTTGCTGAACGAAGCCTGTTCCGGTCGTAGTTTTGAATCCAGTGCATTCTTTAGTCTCTCCAGGATGATACGGAATGTTGGGCATAAAGTTTAATTGTTTGTCTACTGTATCTTCAGAGCATATCTTTCAAATTCTTAAAAGAAAAAATATTTACATGATTCCCTTTGCTAATAAGATGGATGAAAGTTGATAAGTTGTTCAGACATGGATTTTTTTCTGTACATTGATCTCTGGATAGAATTACCCAGTCTTCTTGTTAGTAATGCTTCCAATAATGGGGATATAGAGTTTGTTTCACATTCTATAGCAAATTTTCATGCATAACTGAGCAACGTTGAGAGTGTTGAAGAAGTTGTACAATTCTAATTATTCATTTTGTTTGGTAAGCATTTCAGTGATGTACCTTTGGTAAAAGTATAACTAACTAACTAACT